TTAACAGATCTTATCATTAAAGCTATAACTTTCTTTTTTCCCTACAGCTCCAAGTTTAAACAATTCCGTTTCCCAGTTATGTCTGCGAAAAAACCTGTTTAAGTTAGTCCGTTAGTTAAGCAAAATTTCCTGGAGTTATGTCCGTTAGTTAAGCAAAATTTCACAGAAAGTCTGTTAGTTCATCAAATTTTGATTTTGGGTATTGAGATAATTTTTAATTTCTTCAATTAAAATTAAGAATTTTGTATTGGCTTTAACTGAGTCATCATATTTCATTATGCTGAATGAGATCAGGATTTTCTAGTAGGGCCGTAAAAAAGGCAGTGTTATAAAGAGGAACTATTTTTGAAATTATTTTTATTGTTGAAAATAATTACTTGTCCGAAGGGCAATATTCTACCATACATAGCTTTCTGGTGGATGACACGTTGATACAACATAAAGTTTAGAAATAATTTATCTTTTTTGCAGAGAGAAATAAATTCATTAATATTATCAACTATTGCTGGTGCTTCATCAGTGGTTACCGTTGAAAGCTTGTGCAAAGGCATGTCTAATAACTTCGCATATGCTGTAAATATGTTGTAGGTAATCTCATTCGTTAACGTTCGTCCTTTCAAGGATAATATTATCAGTAGTTCTTCTTTAAAGTTACTAAGTATCATTCTCACTATTACTGCCAACTGTGCAGTATCTGGTATATCTGTAGACTTATCAAACTGTAGTGAGAACCAGTCACATATATATTTCCAGGTCACGCATTAATTGACTTTGTATGTCTTATGAAATGGCATGTATTCTTGTTACGTTGTTATCTGATTACGCCGAGTCTTGTATTCTCACTTTTATATAAAAAAATTCTCAAATAAGCAATCGGCACCAATTAAAAATGCTTTTTGTAACAATTCAGTATCCTAAAAAGGCTTTTCCCTTTTTGCGCGCATGCGAGAAGTTTTTAAAAGAAGCAGTAGCGGCATTTTTACATTTTTACCATAGGCTTAGTGAAAACTGACTTTTGGGTAAACAGGCTTGATTTTAGACAATTCATTTTCTTCTTTCTTACTTCAGTTTTAAGTGAATAGGTCGTATTAAAAATGGTCATGAATTGTGTGAAAATGGCGTTCAATACTATGTTGCTATGTATGACGTTGCAATGCTACTGCTCACAATAGACAAACACAGTTATCTGTAAAATTGACGAAACGATATGATTCTTCCCAGTGAGTATCAAAATTATAGGTTCTTTGTCTTTTACGTGACTCACTAATTTTAGAATTAAAATAAGAAAGTACATAAAAACAGTGAAGTAGAAGACACCACCAATAAAAGAAGAGAATGTACGCTAAAAACATGAACAGATAATTAGCAACAGATATACAGGACATTTAGGGGAATACTAATTAATTGGGGATAGATGGCACCACATGTTTTATGCATTTTCGGCTTTAAAAGTGACAATTATGTTCTTACATTACGGTTAAGGTTTTTATGACTTTAGTTAATCTGCATGCAGTAGCTGTAGAATTATCAACAATTTAAAAGTTTTGTAAGTACTACTAAGTCTAACGAAATCACGATTTGTTTACATTTTAAATTCTTGTTTTGTTTGAAGATATTTTGAGTTTGCATGTATTTTTGCCTTGCTGCGAAGTGAGAACTGATTGATTGAAAGAGAAATATATCTCTAATGAAATCTCAGAAAATAAATTTAAATGAAGTGTGGAAAAAAATGTGTGTCATTTAATAGGACGTATGAGAAAGTCATGTGTTTCCACATGAGATTTTTTATATAGAGTGTCACAGTATTTTACTCATTGTAAATTTAGAAACGGTTGTATAATGTTTATATATTTAATAAAGAACGTGCATGATATTCAACGCATTTCTAGATTGGCTTTTATATAAAATAGTTAATGTGTATGTTATTTGTTATTTTAAATTTTATTAAATTATTTTTATGAAACCCCTGGCGGGCCGGATTATTAGTGCTCGCGGGCCAGATTCGGCCCTTGGACCGTTGTTTGGGGACTCCTGATCTAGAGCATTAGGTATAAATTTTGAAATACGGTGTCTTTAAGGTCTTGAATGTCTAACGCTTATAACCATGTAAGAATTTGGTTAACAGGTAGTTGTTAAAATACTGCAATCTTAAGCATTGTTTCACATAATCAATACGATTAGGTGCAATCTTAAGCACCTAATGCAAAACTGGACAGTGGGATGGTTAAAAAAAAAAAAAAAAAAAAAAAAAAAAAAAAAAAAGTTTTAGCTAGAAAACGTGAATTATGCAAAGTTATTCTTGTACGTGCAATTGTGTAGCTTAAATACACTATTGTGGGAAATTCAGAGAATTTGCAAATTATGTCTTTTTTGCGAAAAGTATCGAACCAAAGGTAATAATTACGCCATCGAAGAAGTGTAGTAGATATTCTGGGTCAAATACCTAGGCGTATACGTACGTGTCTGCGAAGTTGGGATTGTGGAGGGCATATAAGTGCAAGAAGGCTTTTCGGCGATTTCTTCTCATATTCCTTCACGACATTTGCCGTGTTTCTCGCAAGTGTATAATTTTCATAAGGTATCATATAAAATGGGCAGCCACGAACGTATGGATGACGGAATGAGATGGAGAATTGTCGGTAGATTGAAGGCAGATCAATCCCAATAGCAATGTCATCTGCAATTTGTGGAAAAAGTTTCAGGACACTGTATCCATATCGAGAAGACCTGGAAATGTCATTCAAGATCCACAACGAGGAACGAAAATCGTTATTTGCACTTTCAGCGCAGTGTCACAGGACTGCTATAGATTCGCAGCTCTCACGTGAGCTGTATTCTGCCTCTGGAATCCGCGTTTCACGAACTATGCTAACCGAATGCTTCATGAAATAGGGCTATATGCCAGAAGAACCGCTACTTGCGTCTTACTCACTGCAGCGTTCAAGACAGCGCGTTTAGCATGGGCAGACAACATGTGCCTTGGACCAGACTTCAATGGAGCACCGTGCTTTTTACAGATGAGTCGAGATTCAGCCTGGACACTGATTCTTGGATAGGACTCTGTAATACAATATTATCTCTCCCTCATCAGAGAAAAGGATCATTAAGCTCGTGGAGGTAATGGTTTGGGCAGGTACTAAGTTGGACGGACTCATACACCTGTATGTGTTTGGCAAAAGCACTCTGATTGCTATGAGGTATAGAAAGGAGATATTACAGACCTGTGTTCAACTTTTCGAGAGACGCAGTTCGTCCTGGTTCATTCAATGTACTACAACGCTGCTCCATATAGGATTTCCATCTGATTGGTACGCTTGCAGTACAGAAGAAGGTCTCTCCACCTTTACGTCATTCTCTCGACTTTCTTAGAGTTTCACCTGCTAGCTCAGGTTTAATTTTCTCGTCTAATTTATTAAAAACCTTTCATATCCGCCTTACAGTTAGAGATTCATAAGCAATTTCATATCCGCCTTACAGTTAGAGATTCTGGCAGCCTCGAATTGCAGTTACATACTATCGCCAATAGTTCTGACTTTAGCATCTTGCTAACCGTCGTTTAAAATACGCGCTGTTAGTTTTTTGGGTGGTCTATTTTGTGTGTACTCTCGGCTACGTTAACTAAATTTTATTTTAACTTCATGTTATACTACTATTTTAAAATATCCGCAAGTAGCGGAAGTTCATCTGTAGCAATAGCAGTGCCTCTGTTAATTTTAAGAGTTTAACAAAAATGTTAACTGTCTTACTACTTTGCCATTGCTACCGACTAAAGCGGTAACTCTCTTCCAGTCTAGTAGGGTCGGTAGGACATTGAGATAAGCTTCTAGACATAACAGAGCTTTGCAGACTGTCATAACTAATGCTATATTAAATTACATTATCGCTTTGAAGTAGGTGAATGCCTACTAATTCTTTATCAGATCTGTAGTTAATTTAAGTCAATTTCTTTCATAACTGCTATATCATGTCTAAAACCTGTAATAATGAAATAGTGGTTTTCAATTACGTTTCAACGTTTCTTAGGTATCGAAGTAATTTTTATCTGTATCATTTAAAGATATTTATGCGCTTATCTAGGTACAGTCATGGGTGTTTTCAGGCATTTGTGGAAAGTCTAACTCGAATTTTCTATTCATGAAATATATATCAACCATCCTTTTATCGTGTTTTCAGTTTAGGCTTATCGAAATTCTGTTTTGTTAAAGATATAATCTTGCTTAAGTTTAAAAACTTAAACCGAACAATTTTCTATAGCGAGGTACGTTACATATAACATTAGAAATACAAAATTAATTACATTAATTTCTGTACAGAGGTAAATAACACATGGCGATATGAAACATTTTTATTAATCAAAATAATATTGCAAATGTTCAAAAAAATTACAAATTAAGTATATTTTAATGCATATTTATGTGATTAAAAAATAAAGTTATATAAATTATAAAAAATATATTTATTTTTTAAATATCACTCAGTTTATTAAGTTATAATTAAATTATTAGAGTTGTAATTAAAATTTGAGAAATTAAATTTAAGTTCTTATGCCACATCGAGAAGCAGTCCTCAGAAAGCTACTACTGCCAAGCTGCTGGAAATTACAAAATTTTACTACTCTTGGAATGATCATGCTTGCCAAGCTGCATAAATGAAAAATGTATGATAATGATAATGATAATAACCCTTTTAAAGCAACTCGGTGTAATGTGATGGGCCAAAGTTTCAAAAGCTCAGCTAAAAGGTTTCCAACAACAACAGTTTTATCACCTTAATAATTTTCAATAAAAGTGCAAAAATCGCTGCTATAAAGTTATTTCCAACTTAATGCGTAATGTTGAGCATCTATTCATTTTATATGGGTTGAATATATGTAAATATAATTACACTCAGAAAAGATAATAACTGGAATAATCTAGAAATTTTTCTTATATGTATATCACATTTGTTCTGAAATAAAATCGTTGAAATGTTTAGTGTAAAATAAAACAATAATAAAAAAATAAGTACACAAGCGTGTTCAGGTATGACTTTACTTCATATCTCCGTAACAAAGCACATTTATGTACTCATTAAAAGCAACAGGACATTTTTATCATTACACGCAATAGAAACAAAACCATAATATAAAAAAGTAGCAGGGATAAGACGCGATGAAAAATAACGCGTTAAAGCCCTTGTGTTGTCGTTTCCTTCTGCACATCACATATCGGGCATTACTTCGGTTGCAGAAAGTGCCCAAGAGAATGTCCAGGATTGTAAGCGCATGAACCCGTTGCCGATTCTGACATCACCCTACCGTCCGTCCCGGATGAGAACATGCTCTGATCTTGTGTCGATGATACCGGGACCATGTGTCCAAACACAGGACAGCTTTGCATACCCAAAAGTCCAGCTGCTGGACCAAAAGTCTTCGTTGGACCACAGTGTCCAAAACCTCCTTCACTCGCACTGTCCAGGAAAGAAGCAGATTGATGCGGGGGCACCCTTCGGTTACTGTGGTGAAACTCAGGAGCACCATAATTACCACGGTACAGATCTAAGGTGGACTGATGGTGCTGTGGCAATTGACCGGTACCACCTGTTGTACTAACAACAGCTCCAGAAGTCTTATCCAAGTCTCCCAGCAGTGGGTGCTCATTACCAGACAAATGGTGGTGATCTCGAGGCCCCCCTGAAGATAGGCAACCGACTCTTTGAGAAAATTGTTCTGTAAAACGATTCCAGGACGGAGGTCCTGGTGGACCTGGAGGTTGCAGATGGTGGGCGTACTGATGGTGTGGACCGCCAGGTGGCGCGAGTCCAAAATGCATATAAGGGTCCGCAGTAGGAGGTGGGGGCCCCAGATGTGGACCATTTGGCGAGGAAGAAGAAGCTGTGGCTTCTAGGACTGTAGTGGTAGCATACTTGCATGGACCATTTCGAGAAACCGATGATGTAGTGATGACAGGCGTCGAAGTGGCACCCACCGATGCAGGGGAGGATAAGTTGCTGTTGTGCTCATGACCTGTAAAAGAAAACAAGAATACTGGAACTAAATAAATAATAAAAACTGGAACTAAATAAATAATAAAACTGCAATAAAAAAGGAATCTAAATGATCTTTGAATCTAAATTACCGAATAGTTTGCAATTACAAATCTAAAAAATGAATAGGTAAATAAATAAATAAAAACATGAAGTTGAAAACAAATGGCAATCTGATCTTGGCATGCAGATTTCATCTTAACGAAATCTGTGAATGGCAAGCCCGGTCAGCCGGCTAATGGGCTAAGTGCCCTATCCGTATCTAATACGCAAGTAGTTTTTCTAATCTTTGATAGCATGTGAATATTTTAACGTCTGAAGCAATTTTAAGCTGACCAATGACGGTAAAAAGTATTATTAATATTTACTACACATGCCCTAAGGCACCACATGGAAAGGAGGGATGTCTTCGTGGAGGACTTTTTAAGATAAACTGGCTCGTATTAACCCTTTCCGGCACACTACCTTTTAAAGTTGGAGTTTTGATTTAAAAAAAAAAGGTAGACAGTCTAATTAGGCCTAGAGGAGTACACAATTAAAATTGTGTGAAGATAGCACTTATCGTTTTAATTTTGTGTGTGTGCCCAAAGTGGGCACACTGATTGAATAGAGCTTCGAAAAGAGTGCTGAAACGAGCATTGCCGTCAATGAACTCACCGATGAGATGCGGAGAAACAAAGAATACAGACTCTCAGTTGTCTTAGATTATCGGTGAGCCCGGCCTAGGCACACCTAGGGTTCGCCGTTTGATTTTAGCCAAGATTTCAAGGTAAAAATTTAAAACTAATATAAAATAAGGAGATTAGCATACAGCCAAAAAAATAGCATAGAAATTTCTTTTCAAACAATTTCTTTTATACCCTAAAAAAAAATCTGGAAGATTTCTTTGAAAAACGAGGGTCTTAAAAAAACTAAACATGGCTAAAATATATGGACCGGTTTGTGTTGAGCTGCCATCTATTATAAACAAAAAAGGTTCAGTGTAACCTATAGTAACCAATAAATCCTTTTCCATTCAATTGTTCTGAAGGAAATTTTTAGGTGTGTCCAGACCGGACACACTGTGCCGCAAAGGGTTAACACGTTACACATGGGGCAAACCACGAATACGCCCATGCAGCCTACCTCGTAGGGTTCGAACCTCGGACCGAACTATCAGTACTGAGGGACTTCATCGCTCAGCCGCTGGTTAGCTGACGGTAGGAAGTAAAATAGTTTAACGAATTAGTTCTCTAGAAAAAGTATAAAACTAAAATTCTCATATTTACTACAAGCTGTTAAAAAAACACTGACATATGATAACAAAAAAGAATTGTTATAGTTTTATTTCAACATAAATTAACTCCAAATAAGTGTTGAAAATTGAATTTGTAACAACGAAACATTTCAGACAGTTGTTATTTGCCCTGAACGTATAGAATACGAAATTAAAAATTACTTTAAGATTTGAAGTTAATTTCGCGTTTGAAACTAATTAAGTTAAAATGTGTATCTATAGTGTTTTTTTAGAAAGAACAGTTTTTTTATTTTATAAGTATTTAGATAAAAAACAAAAAAAAACAGCCCTTTTAAAATGTCTCAAAACAACCGTGCAGTATTAGAGGTGGCGCCATCTATTATGAAAATAGAGAACAAAATTATGACACAGAGGTTAGTGAAGATTTAGTAACACAGTTACGCAACAAAGCAAGAATCTTTTTTTTTGGGGGGGGGCGCATATCATTATCAACAAAAAATTTAGCAACAGCTTACCATAATGATAAGTTCAGTGAAAAATCAATTCAGATAACTAAAAGAAAAAAAAAAGCTTTAAGAGTGCACCATGAAACAATTGCTGATAGCTGAAATGCCATAGTATTTATTTCTTTTGGGTGACAATTTTATAAATAAATCGTGAAAGCAATTTTGCTTTATTAATATTTTAACTTCGTTGCGTAAAAGTAAAGTAGTTTCCTGAAATTAGAAGTAATGAAGCTATAATGGACTTAAACAATATAATTATATATATAAATTCTGAGAGGTTTCAAGTTTGAACAGCAATCTAAAAGGGTTTGTTAATATTTTTTAGGCTCTCATTGAGCTCGCCATAGAGGTAAGAAGTAAGTTCTTTCCTACCTCAGTCTCCAGTCTGCTGTTGCACATACTCCTGCTAACGCAACCCACCCCCTTTTTTTTTTTTTTCGTTTTTAGATTTACCATTAAGCATCGCTTTCTTCGCACTTACGCCATATATAAAAATTTTTTGGATTTTGCTGTTAAACTGCAGTTCATCAGCTCGTCAGTGCTGTTGATTTCGTCAGTGCTGTTGAACTGCAGCAAAAAGTTTTCCCAAAAATTTTAAAAGCAGCATATGTTTGGAATTCCCGATGCAGTGTTAAGTCTTGACATACATTTTTCTACTTTTCTCAGCTCATCACATCAGTGTTCAATTTTCTTAGTTAAGATGGCTAACAAAAAAAAATTTTTTTTTTCTTTTTATTAACTTTTCTGTGTTAACTTTATTTATTAAATAACGCGTTATTCGCCCTTACGCCTCAAATAATTAAATTCAACAGCAAAATTAGTTAACCTGCATTTTTCTACTTTTTTCATCAATTTCTTAGTATGATGGGGGCGGGGAAAGACTTTTCTTTAACTTTTAATGTGTTAACTTTATTTGTTAAGCATCATGTTCTTCGCCTTTAAGCCACATAAATTTCAGTTCAGCTGCAAAATTCACGAAATACTTAAAAACAGCATGTCTTTACATTTCCGAGAGACCGTTCCGCTGGAGATATAAATGCTTTATTCCATACAGTGTTACCACTGCTCGTTTTCAAGTAGTCTAATTTGTCAATCAAAAGTTCATTAAGTTTTACAATATATGCTATAAATAATAAAAATGTATATATATAACGGCATTCTATGAAAATATTGAATATTTTAATTAGCTAGACGATGAATTAAATGCAATTTTATAATTCAAATCAATCCGATTCAAAAGTAAGAAGTGAATATTCTTATCTATATCTATTGCTTTCAAACAGTTTCCTTTGTTAATCCTCATCAGACAGATTCAGTTTGAAAGGTAAATAAATATCTTATATTTTGCCGATGGCAGTAGTCTCGAATGAAAAGTAAAACGACGCATGATTCGACGCAAAATCCCATTTCGAGAGTAATAGCCTCTTCAGAGTTAAAGAAAAAAATAAAGAGTAGAAAAGAATCTTGCGCTTTTGTAAGCTTCTTATTTCAAGGTAGTGTCTCAGCAAAAGAATTCATGGCTGAAATATTTTAAAATATTCAGAAATAAAAATAAAAAAGCAAATGTGCAGTAGTTTAACAGCGGAAACTGTTTTAAGTTTAAAAATTATGACGGGTTTACTAGTTTAACAATTAATGCCCAGAAAATGAAGCTACCGAACATGAAATTGCATAATGAAATGATTTGCCCAAAATAATAACGAGAAAAAAAAAGGACTTCTTATCATTCAAGATTAATTCTAGATTACTGTTATGCGAAAATTTTTCATTCTTATTTTGTAAAGGAACAATTAAATTAATCAAGACATAGCGGCGCACCTTTTTTCATGGAATCGCTGCACTCAAGATTTGCAATAAATATTTACCACGAATGGTAACTGCTCCGGCATATGGCAGCAATTTTGATTTGTTGCCGCTTCATTTAATGATATACTTAGAAGGAAATTAGTTTTTCTAATAGCGTCTAGACCTGATGCAAATTTAAACAGAATTTATTCCTCCTGAAACAAACAATTTCATTAACAAACTGTTTAAAATGTATCTGATGTAAATTTTAGATAGAAAAGTATTTTAAATTATCAGAAATATTTCTTTAGCTGAGCTTTACTGAAAACTTTTCAAAAGCAAATAAGCGCCCTTGCAGTAAAGATATTTCAATTAAACTGAGAATAAGAAATAACTTTTGGAAAATATCTAATTTTTATTACTATTCACAGGAGCGAAACAATTTTTTTAGCATGCGAATCCTCGTTAGAAATATATAAAGGAGTAGTCTCTGAAATGTCATCGTGCTAAATTCAGTAATTACGATAAGATAACGATTCAGGAATAAAATTAACGACTCAATAATAATCGAATTCTCGATTCAATAATAACATTATTCTACTCAAGTTTTATAATATTAATTTTGATTTTCTTTCTTAGGTTTAAGAGCTTTAAAAGTTAAAGTGAATTAACGTATGAAATTTTAATCTGAAATAAATAAATAAATAATGTGTAACAGCTTTTTGAATAATATGCGCATTTTTTCAGAGGGATGATGTTTTTATCACAGCTGTCACCTGTAGCAGAACTAAGATTAAAGAAAGTTTGAAAATCTTTATACAAGACTATCCTCAGCAGGTTGGAAAATAAAATCTGAAAGGTTTCAGATTTTAAATTACATCCGAAGGGGCCTTTTTTTTTTTAACATTTTGTGTGTTACCTTTATTTAATAAATATCATGTTCTTATCAATTTAAAACGAGCATATCTTTTAGAATTTCCGATACAGAATTTCGCGCAGGAGATGAATTTTTTTTTTTTTTTTTTCCTATACAACGTTGCTATTGCTCGCTTTGAAATCCTTGAGCTTGTTATTCAAAAATTCGCTAATGTTTTACAAAATATGAAATCGATAATAAAACAAATTTCAGATTTCTAATTTGGGGTTCCAGATATCCATATTCTATGGAAGACTACGTTATTCACTTTTTGATGGCTCTAGGTAACGTTATTTTATCACAATGCGAAAAACATACATACATTTATGCAGATGCTTTATTATTTGGTTTCTTTAAATGTAATACAGGGCGATAATATACAGTGGCAATACTTTGAATAGTTAAACAACGCTTGTGGTAAATCAACGCAAAATGCCAAAACGAAATTAAGAATCCTTCTGGGCAAAATGCCCCTTTGGACTAAAGATGAAAACATATATATATAAAACTGATGTGGACATCATATGACTTCCTTG